TTAAGAAGTTCTTATTGCACGGCGTCATTCCAATCATTTCCACTAATGGCATCTTGTACCTGTAAAAATGAAAGCAACATAGAATAAAAAAACCTATTCAAACATACTAACAATATTCGCATTAAATTGATATTTATAAAGTAACATAACATACCTGTTGGTTTTGTACGTGGAGTCTATACCGACATACCAGTAATATGTCCGGAACAGACAGGCTGATTGAGGATGCGACATGAAGACACGTGTCAATGCCTGTGTGTCCGGATCAACATCTACGTAATATATATAGTTGTTGGCCTTAGCCAAATTCAGAAGTTGGGCAGCCACATTTCTACCCTGCAGATCATCTTTCCGCACTTTAGATCTATAGTTGTACACTTGTTTACAAGTAGCGTTGTCTACAGGGTTTTGCTCCTGAATCGCAGCCAAAATAGATGCCTGTCTTGCCTGAGCAGAAGTCATATCACGGACAATCTTTTTGGACGGACCGCTAAGCCCGCTCATCTGTCGATGACCCTCGGGATTAACAGCCAACGCATGATTATGAAATCCCTTCTCATCATCTAAAGGAACCGAGATATACCATTTTTTTGATTGAGAATCAAATTTGACTCTTAACTGAAAAAGGCAGTTGGTCGATTTAGTTTTCGATTTTCTCGTAATAGCATTAACTACCTTTCCTACACGGCTTCTGTAACGTTCCCCCCGATCACACCTCAACAACCTATTCTTTCCTTCTTTTTCGTGTCTCGAGATGACCAATGTGAAACCCCATATGATTGCAATATCTTTTGCCCATTCAACAGCTTCGTCAATACTATCAAATAGAATAGTTGTTGTGAGACAAGGTCGGTAATCAATAAACTATATTATAAGTTATATTACTTATATTATAATAAACTATATTATATATTATAAGTTATATTATAAGTAATTAAACTATAATAAACTATATTATAATATATTACTTATATTACTTGTATTATAAGTTATAATAAACTATAGTATAAGTAACAAATTATATTACTTAACTCAAATCCTAAGTGATTTTTCTCTCTCTAAATCCAAATCCCCAAATCCTAAGAACCAAACCCTCGTCGATTGGAGTTGCCTTCCTCGGCAACAGGGCGGCGCCGGCCGGTGGACGCGCTCAACCGCCACCCCACCTCTGTTGTCACGGTCCTCCAGTGTTGTTGCGGCTTGCCTGTGATGTCGGTCTGGATTGGCCTTCGTTTGCCGGCGTGGTAGCGATAGGAAGCAGCGATCGGCTTGCAGGTGACTGGCCGCCGGCCTACGATTGGAGGTGAGTATGTCGTCTTCTTCTCCGCTCCTGTTTCAATTTCTGATTCTATGCGAGAATGGAGGGCCACCGGAGGGCCACCTCGAGCGGTCCTATTTTTTCGGCAGATCTCCGTTCGGGGTTGTCGAGCCCGGACGCCGGTGGTCTGCGGTTCTATTGGCTGGGTCGTGGGTTGAGAGGCGGGGTGGGAATCTGACGGGAGTCGGAACTGAGGGCCCGAGCCGTCCCCCGTTCTGTCTAGTGGTGTTAGACGGCGGAAATCTGGTGCTCCGATGCTCGGCTAGTGGTGTTAGGCGTGCTCGGGAGGTGCTAGAGTGGGTGCGTGTTTGGTTGTCCTTCCGGTTGAGGCGGGTCGTTTTGGAGTGTGATTTGTGTTCGGGCTCGACTTCTTGTATAGGCCTTGTAGCAGTTTCGGGAGCCATCCCTGGACTTGGATTATCCTCTGATATTGACTGTTTCTCCGCTGGTTCGAGCTGACTGAATTGCTGTGGAAGGGCTTTTTTATTTAAGCTGTGTTTTTCCTTTTTTGGTTTTGTTGTAGATTGGTTTGTTGTTCTAGTTTAGTGTGTTCGTATCTGTGTTTGTGTTTGTCGTTGTGTTTTAGGTCTGGGCCGTTGGTCTCTGTGCACCCGAGTGTCATTTTCATTACTCTGTGGGGGTCCGACACTCGGGAATTACCCTGTTGGGGTCTTGTGTTGTTTTATTTGTCGTTGTTTTGTGTGTTTGTTTTTAGTGTGTTGCCGAGTATTCTAGCATTGCTAGTTTTCGGATCTAGGCGGTCTTCGGATCTGTCCTCCCAGTTTTCTCAGTCGTCGGTTGTATTATTCAGCTAGTGGCTGTACTTTTTGCACATTTGTGCGTTTATATATAAATCCTCTATCGTTTCGACCAAAAAAAAAACAATAACACTTATTTGTTGGAAAGTGGATTTGCGCTAGAACAATTATTTGATAAATTATATGCAGAAGTTGCTGATTAGGATAAACATTAATTAATTGGAAAATTGATTTGCTATATTTAGATGTGTTAACCAATACTAGAACGATTATTTATTGAAAACTAGTACAGAGCCCGTGCGATGCACGGGGTGCACAATTTTAGGTTATTTATCCAAGCTTATAATTATATACATGAATAAAGAAAAATGTACGGCATATATATAGTACGTGATCCGTGCGAAGCACGAGATATATTTATTTGGAAAATATTATATTATAAGATGCAATATTCAATAAAAGTTTATAATACGCAAGAAACTGTACAATGTTCAATAAAAGTTTTATAATATTCAAGTGGAGTCTTAAAGTCTCTTGTACATTAAGACTACTGACAAAATAATATTTTAATCAATGAGTTTCCTTTCCTTGTAGCCAAATTGTGAATGTGATTTGAGGAGTACAACAAATCGATATATAGCTGACTTGCTTTTTTCATTGTAATTTTTTTTTTCTTTTTTTTTTTATATGAATTTATTTATAAAAAGGGCAAAAGTGTAAATTGGGGTGCGGTATTTAGCAAAAAGGGTGCGGTATTTAGCAACACTCTTACAATTATCTTAGCATTTAGGGCCAATAAAAAATATGGTAAAATATGGTCAAATCTCCTTATTAAGCCTAAAATAACACTAAGCCAGGAATATCATAATGGGTAAGAAAATATGAGATAGCTTAGGATAATTACTCTTATCTTAAATTATCTTAAGTTATACACTTATAAGTATAACTGTTAGTACAATAGTACAAAATAGCTAATCGTCTGCTATGGTCATTTGTAAAATCATAAGGTCCTCTAAGGCTTTGTTTATTGGTAACCCATTGAATTGGTCTCCCAAAAAATGACAAAAAAATAAAATAAAATAATAATATTAATAGAAAAAAGAAAGAAAAAGTTCTAAAAATATATGGTGACCCAAGTCACAAAGTGGCCTTGGATCGTGACTGGGTTGTAATGTTGGGAATGGGACACTTGTCCTATTCCTATTGGATGGTTATATTTTTCAAATAAGATAATTTTAATAATTTTTAAAGGATTATAGTTGGTGTTAATTTATATTTAAAAAAATAAAATGTACCAAAATTAGTATTTTTCTATTATCTATAAATAGAGACCACATTAATTTGATAGGTTTTAGAACGCAATTGCAGTTTCTCTCTTTTCACTTTTTCGCTAATCATGCCTTATTTATTTTTTCACCTCTTTCATTTTTCTAACTTCCAACAAATACCATATGGATTCAAATCTTGAATATTATCTCAACTCACAAAGTTTGTCAAACTTTGAAAATTTTTCAAATCTCAACTTTGAACGAATCACAAACGTATCCGCATATATGACTAATAGGTCACAACTTCGTAATAGAGAAACTCATATGACTCTAAAAAACGACTTCTCATTGAGCACATGTGCAAAAAATGATAATGGTAATTGATGTGTGATTTCATTTGAAGTGTTTGTAACTTATTTAATTAAGTTTAATATTGTATTGTAACTTGTTTATTGTAATTTCAATTTTGATTGGATTCGTATTTTTTTAATTGTATGGTAAAATATTTTTTTTAAATCATTACGACTTAATTATATATTTTTTTAATGAATTTGTCGTAACTAAAACAATAACAAAAATCAAGTGTAGATAATACTTAGTAATTAAATAAATAAATAAAATAAATATTTTATGTTGAGTTGTGTTGGGTTGGATAAAACAATAAGTTCGGTTGTAAGCTTGGATTGAGTAGGCGGAGGAGAGAAAAATAATTTTTAATTATTTGAACAGAGTAGGTTTGGGTTAGAGATATAAAGATCAAAAATTTTAACTTATTTAACTTAGGTGGATGCATAGAGAGAAAGAGACAAATTAAAAGTAATAATAAAATTCAAATATGGATTGGATGCATTAAAATATTTATGTGTTACTTTCTCTTTTACTTTGTCAATAAATGCAACAACATCAAATGTAGGGAATCTGTTCCCGTGTTAAATTTCCAAAGTAAGGTTCATTTCCTACCTTCACCTTGCTCATGACTTTCAATAATTTGTGCATCACTAAGGGATTGCTTGGATAAAACCTTTTTTTTTATTGTTTTTTTTTTTATTAACTTGAGTTAAATTTGAAATAATTGGTTGAGTTAGATTTGAGAAGAATTTTGAATTTATATGAATATTTAAAATAAATTAATTAAAGTTGATTTGATATAAAAATATGAGAGATATGATTGAAAGTGATATTAGTTAAAATTATATAAATAAATAAATAATAAATTAAAGTTACATGATGTCTAATATGATTGATACATAATAATTAATTATATTAATAATATTGAGACGAGTCCCATTGAATTAAATTTCAGTTGCTGAGTAGATTTGTTTGATTATCATATCTAAGCATGCAGTCAACATTTAACGTTATCTCGAAAAAGCCCACGAGCAACCCCTCTCTCAAACCTCTTCAAGACGACTCGTGTCCTCTCACAAGGGCAATCCGGTCCACAAATAAAATCAAGCGTTACTCCACGCCAATAATGCGAGCACCAACACGCCTCGCGGCACGTGGCAGGTTTTAATGATTGAACCAAAGGCGAGGCTAGACTCTAGAGGACACGTGGCGGATTCCAGACGTGACGCGCTAGGCTCCAACAGTTCACTGCGCGGGAGAAATTCTTTTGCCCCGCCTTCCAGAAACTTCTTGTAATTCCTGGTCGAGAATCGTTGAAGCATCTGGCGGTTCAGAATCCGCCACGTGTCCAGTACGCCACGTGAGTATCCGACGTGTCATATGCCCTCGCCCGAAATTTGATACGCCCCTTTTATTTTGCTTTAGGGCACTTTTCACTCTGCACACAAAACCCAAAAGCTCTACGGACCGGAAAATCTCTGCTCGCCGTCACTTGTACATGAGCTAAAGCGTCGGAGGTTGAAAGAATTTTCATTTTCCTGTAGCAGGAATGGATGTAGATGCGGAAGAAGATGCGAGAATGGAGGAGAAGGTAGTGTTTATGTGGGGATATCTGCCGGGGGCGCTGCCGCAGAGGACGCCGATGTCGTCTCCGGTGGTGGTGCGGCCGCCTCGAGGCGGAGGCTCGTGGAAGGACGTATGTGGCGGGGGGTGTGGTTTTGCCATGGCTATATCGGGTAACGTGGAGATTAATTTCTGTTTTTCTCTTCGTTTTCAACGAACTTTTGTGTTCGACCGGTTTTCTGTCCTTCAGCGTGTCGGCTTTGAGGTTTGAGGAGTTTCCGTTTCCATCTTCTGGTTATCAATGTGATTCATGTTGTGACGTACTCGCTTCAATATTTGCCAATTTTCAATTTGGAAGTTCATTAGCAACTTCAATAGCTCTGATGTAATTATTTTAGGCCTTTTAACATACGTGTATTACGGACAAGGTGTACTGCGCTTGTGTTTTTAACTTCTCCTCCAGGGGTTGTGCTCAATTTTCAACTAGTTGACATTTTTGGCAATTTGGCTGACCAGAGTTTTGATTCTGTAACCAAATTAGAAGTTTTGTCTCAAGATATCACGATTTGAGCTATTGAAAGCAAACAGTTAGGATGTTTGAGGATCGAGATAAAGAATTGAGTCATTTATCCTTCTGGAAGTACGCTGTATAGTACTTGGTAGTCATAGTTTTATATTTTTCATTTCAGAATCAGGGAAGCTCATTACCTGGGGATCGACGGATGACTTAGGTCAAAGCTATGTGACATCTGGGAAACATGGGGTAATGCAATATGACATGGTTTTCTTATGACTTGTTTCTTTAGTTTCATTTGCTTTAACATAATTTCTCACTGATCTGCATCAAGGAAATGCCAGAGCCTTTTCCACTTCCCAATGAAGCCATTATAGTGAGAGCAGCTGCTGGTTGGGCACATTGTGCTGCTGTAACAGGTAAACTTGAGATATTTTCTTGAAGTTTCCAATTTCCATCTCAAAAGGAGATATTGCGCTCAAAAAGTACCTCTCTGGTTTCCCTTTTGCTGTTCCCATTTTATGTCAGCTAAGGTGGTAGTTGATTTCTCTGTGATTGTCTTTTCCATAGAAGCTACTATGAATATGCAAAGTAGACATCTACTTTTGCACTGCATAAGGACATGACATCTTTTTACAATTCTTCTCTTTCGTGTTTCTAATACATTGGTGAACCAACTGAATCATTCCTTTATCAAAATGCAGCGGATGGGGAAGTTTACACATGGGGATGGAAAGAATGTATTCCTTCTGGAAAGGTGTTCGGGGACCCTTCCACGGGGTTGGCCATGGAGAAGGATGCCTCCGAGAAGCAAAGGTTAATGTTGACTGAGCAAGGTATTGCTCTCTGGTCTGATGGGCTACTGTGTCTCATGTTCATGGTTCATTCATGGATTAATATGTTGAAGAGTGTTTCCATTACAGTGAGCCCTCATTCTATTGGCTCAAGATCCAGTGGCGGGTCATCATCGGGTGGGGACAGTAGAGGAGCTGATGAAACATCTAAGCGGAGACGAGTATCGCCAGCTAGACAGATTGCCGAAAGCTCATCATCTGGTGATGAGAGCCTTTCGGCATTCCCTTGTTTGGTTTCGCTGAACCCGGGTGTAAGGATAACTTCAGTTGCTGCTGGCGGTAGACACACATTGGCGCTGTCAGGTACTTACTGAATTGCTTTGTTTATTGCATTACAATGCTTCTTGAACAAGTAAATCTGCTATCGTGTTTTTCTTTCGCCGAAAGTTACAGATACAGGACAGGTGTGGGGTTGGGGCTATGGAGGTGAGGGGCAACTAGGATTGGGATCACGGATTAGAATGGTGTCCTCTCCTCACCTGGTACCCTGCATTGATTCATCTTTCAACAAGGATCGGTTGATGGGCCTTTCTCGTGGAACTATGGGTTCAGAAGGTCAAGGTTACAGAGTTCCTGGAAGTTACGTAAAAGCTATTGCGTGTGGAGGTAGACACAGTGCAGTAATTACAGGTACTTTTATTTTTATTTTTATTTTTAAGAAAAAAAAAAACATTTAATAAGATGTCTACTTCTTTACCTCTTCATATAGTTATATGCAGATTTAGTTTAATGGATTCATTCCCATTATGTTCGTAAATCATGTAATGCAATACATTGAACCCATTCAACATATTTATTCTGTCATTGAGTTGTATTGATGTATATATTTGTTGCAACAGATGCTGGTGCACTGCTAACCTTTGGTTGGGGATTATATGGGCAAGTGAGTGTCCTATCATGTTAGTTAATTATATTTGCATATTTGCATCACATTTTGCCACCATATGTATGTTTATATAATTCTGTGCAGTGCCGTAGAGATACTTATGTGAAGTTTTTCAGATAGGACAATGAGGGTAATTGTTTTGTGCAGTGCATAAATGCCTAAGCAATTGTTATCTGATGATAATAGGTACATACGTGAATTATAGTAAGGATAAATGGAAGGTGATTATAAGTTGCACAGTATTCCATGTACAAGGAAGTAATGGGATTATCCTTTCTTGTGTGATTTTGTATCCTATATTTATTATAAAAATGGGATATATGAATGAAATAAAATAATTTGCTATGAACAAATTGTATTGAGAATTTTAGCATTGCATTTTAGGTTATTTTCATTATGTGGTGTATAACTTGAGATATGTCAGTCGACATGTCAAATTTATACATTCCGGAGGACTCGGTGCAAACAATTAAAGCACTCAATCAAAGAGCGAGCCTTGTCATCACCTGAGAGAGGTTTTAGGACCCCAAAACCAATTAGTGATAGTAGTATCTATCTAGACTTATACACCAGGCCCATTTTTCCTAATTAATCAACGTGTGATAACTTACAAGTGAACGTCCAAACATGCCTCCTCACTTGTGAATCCTTCATTAATCAGTAACCACAGATTTCGTTAATCAGTAACCACAGATTCACATCAGGCCTTCTCTAATACAGTGTCAAATTTTTACACTCAGGACTTGGTGTGGCCCACCCAATTGCAGTGTGCCCAATATAAGGTGAGCCTAGGCACCACCTAAGTGAGGTTTCATCCCAAAACCAATTAGTGATGAAGTAGTAGTTTAATAGGCTTAAAATTTTAGTTTTGGAATGCTCTGTTGCATGTGTAATTATGAGGCATACACATGTATATGAAAATTTATGCATATATCATACATATAATCAAATATATCATAAGTTTCACGTTTCCTATTCTGTTCCAACTTAATTTCTATGAGCAATTACATCACCTTCATTTGTCTGGTTAAGTATTTCTACTGTGTGCGGACGAACTCACATCTTATAGATCTATACCTTGCAGACAATACACGATTAGCCCCATTGATTCAAGTCTGGTCCCCTCGCATTTTTCTTGACTGATTAGTCTGATTTGGTTATGCATGTACTTCTGACTAACTTTTGCTTATTTCTTATTTTCTTATTCAATGCAGTGTGGTCAAGGAAGTACTGATGATGAGCTAAGCCCTACTTGTGTCTCTTCCTTACTTGGGATCAGGATAGACGGGGTTGCTGCAGGGCTTTGGCACACCATCTGCATTTCTGCTGATGGTGATGTTTATTCTTTTGGGGGAAATCAATTTGGTCAGTTAGGAACTGGTGCTGATCAAGCTGAGGTAATATGCCGCAACTTATTTATGTATGACTGTAGGACAGCAGACAGTACATTTGCAAGTGGCATACCATGTCATGTAAGAAGGGTTTTGATTTCTCATTATTAGTATGGAGCGGCTGTTGAAGTTTCTTTATATGAATTTTCTTTTGGATTGTCAAATTCTGCATGTGATATTTGATTCTTGCCAGGTCTTATCTTACCCTGGATTGTATCCTTTTTATTCATGACTTTTGTGACTTATCTTCTTGGTTATCTCTGTCAGACTTTGCCCCGACTGCTAGAAGCCCCAAGTCTGGAAAATGTTCATGCAAAAATCGTATCCTGTGGAGCTCGCCATACTGCAGTAGTTACAGGTGTGTTAACTTTTCTGATTGCAGACATGACTTCCTTTGATTTGTGAATATTATCAATGGACAGTATCCTTTTTATGGTTTCCTTTGAAGAAAATCAAAAGTTTTAGGAATTGTGGTAGCAGTTAATAGTTGTGGGACAATAAAGCAGCACTATAGAAAATAGTCAAAAATTATTTAGGATGTGTTGCTCACAAGTCACAACCCTAAAAACTACTAGTCAGTTGCACCCTCTGTGGATTTCCTTGATGAAAACTCCAATTAAATGTGAACCTTTCTTTGTTCAAAGGACCTTTAGTAAGCAATTTGTTCAAATTCCAATTAAATGTGAACCGAATCGATGCCAGTAAGCAATTTGTTGTATCAATGAAGGGATTATAGCAGAAAATGGTATTTGATCGAGTGCTCCAAAAAAGAGGTGAGATTTAGATTTTCTGAATACTACAAGTCCAAGTACTAGTAGGGTCGACAATGGAAGGTGAAAAGGGTTTGTGCTATAATTTGGCCTAATCAAAATGAAGTTGCATAATTTTGCTTTAGAAATGTATTAATCTCTCTAGAATGACAATCTTCATTCACTTGTTCATTTTTATAAAGATCAGATTCATTGAGAGATTACTGATGCATCCTCTTTCGTAACAATTACATTTTCTGTGCTTTACATTTCTTCTTATATTCTGTAGAGGATGGAAAAACGTTCTGCTGGGGTTGGAACAAGTATGGTCAGGTACGCTATATTCCAAAACTTATTCGGTAGCTTCCATTTCTATGATATCCATGAATGTGGTATTATAATATGCATGTAAAATGGATGTTTTATTAGAGTTCTCGTGTTAGCCTGTCTTCTTTGATGATACCTAATGATTGCATCTCTAATCGAGTCAGCTAGGCTTGGGTGATGTGATTGACCGAAATACCCCTTGTGAAGTTACATTGGACGGGCACATGGCAAGAAACGTGGCATGCGGGTGGTGGCACACACTTCTTCTGTCAGAATCACCAACCTGAAAGAATTCATAACTGCCCGGGTAACAATTTTGTTAGGTTTAGAGAGTGACTAGTTTACACTTGTCTGTGTTATATGTATATGCAAGTACAGTAGCTTTGGGACTTATGCATGTATCCATGTCTATGTACTCATTCTTTTGGGCTAGTCCAGAGTGACTCGGTAAAGCCTGTTGATCGAGTGAGTCGATAGAACCGTGTGCTGGTGGAAATTGTCTGCACTACAAAATGTCTTGTAAATTTTCGGTGATGCTTGTTTAGCTCTGCGCGGATAATGTTGTGCATCTTTTAAAATACAATCCGAATCTTTCACATTTTAGGTGTGCTTTGTAATGAAATTGAGGTCCGTTCTAGTTAGTTTGGTTTCTTGTTTTCCTGTGTTGTAATCCAATTACATTTTGAATGTAAATTTGGGTGGTCCAATATTATACGAAACATAAAACTTGAAAGCATCTAATCCACGATCGGTTTCCAATCCCAATAGTTTCAATTCTGGATTCTAATTGAGAATAATTGTAAAATTCGATGGTACCAAAAGTTGGGACCTGACTTCATATTTCCAACACACTGCAGAAAAAGAGGTCAAGACTTCATGACGAGCATCAATGCAAGACGGGCATCGGAATATTTTTCAGTATATATTGTGTTAATAGTCAATATACTTTTTTAGCATATGTTGCGTTTTTATTTACGTACCATTATTTAACCACTTGTGATATTTGAATTTTTGTTATATTTTTTAATTAATTTTGTACCAACAATCTATATATTAATGATATGTAAAACACTTTATAANAAAAAAAAAAAAAGAAAAAAAGAAAAAGAAAATGAATGACAAAACAAACCACGTTGACAATTATAAGAAAAAGATGTCAAGACTTGACAACAAGCGTCAAAATTTTGTGCAAGACGTGCATTAGAATAATTTCAATATATGTTGGCTTTATAGTCAGTATAATTTAAGTATATGTTGGGTTTTTCTTGTATAAAATTTATCTAACCACATTTATAAAAGAAGAAAAATGAATGACAATCTCGACCAGGTCGGCAATTATAAGAAAGAGAGGTCAAGGCATTAACGAGTGTCAAAATTTTGTGCAATATATGCATTAGAATAATTTCAATATATATTGCTATGATATTTAGTATATTTTCAGTATATGTTGCATTTTTATGTACATAACATTTATCCCCCCGTTGCCCTCCAATTTCTATCCAAACATTACCACCATCCCTTCCTCCCTCCTCCTGCCTCCGCCAAACTCGTTGGCTGCAAGAAGGACGAGAAAACTATTGGCGTAGACCTACTCAAATCCTACTTCCACTGGATCCACTACCTCGACCCCGACCCCTACACCAACCTCTCCGACGACGGCAATGTGAGAGAG